CCCAGCCAGCCATGGCTGGCTGGGGAATTCTGGGAGTTGAAGTCCACACATCTTAAAGTTGCCATGGTTGAGAAACACTGATGTAAAACTTTATGCTTCTAATAGCAAGGACTAAAATAAGTTTAATCCAACCAGGGAAGTGCAGTAAAATTAGTAAGCTTTGGTTCGCAGTGAAACACAGAGGTCTCAAATCATGCTTAACTTGTCTCACCAATTTTGGTCCACACAAGCTGAACTAAAGGCTAGGGTGAAGCACTGCAGGCTAGATCTAGAATGTTAATCCTATTTTTAGACATTGCCCACATTCTCAGCTGGTGCCTGACTTGCATTCTTCAATCAGCTTTAATTTCCACAGTGAGTATTACTTTCCGACTTCTTTCAAATACATTTTGCTAGAATCTGAACGGTGCTGATACTTGTTACGTTAAAGAAAAAAAAGTATTCTTTACTTCAACACACTGGAAATACAGATCACTAAATCTGGCACTTGCAAGCAGTATAATCTAGGGCCCACATATCTTTAATTCAGTTCCAAACTTCTAATGTGCATCACAGTTTAAAGGAATTATCTAATTTTGGATTCATTTGGAATTTTAAGTTACTGTTTCCTATCAATCATTACCATAATGCAGCATGCTTTCCTTTAACATTCCTACTTTCACCAGAGTACTATGCGCATGTTTTATTAGTTTAGAGATGGTTTCTCAATATATCTAGATTATGCTCATTTTCAGCCAACAGTTAGTGCAGAAGTGCAGCATTCAGAAGAATATTAAGGATCAAGCCCTACTACTCACATTTCACATTTCCAGAGGCAGACAAAAACAAAATCAGCTGACTTGTTTGCATTTTAGACCCAAGTATTGTTTTGTAAAAATGTCTTCAGTTTTATTAAGAACTTTGAGAGGGTTAAGAACAGCCTTATGGCAACATGCTATATTGTCCTATGGTTCAGAGTCAAAAAATGTGGCTGTAGTTTAATATTCATGAAATCACACTTTCCATAGGTCAGAAGTATCCAACAATGTTTCTGCTTCAGCACAGGGAAGCTTAGTTGAACATATGTTGCCAGGCAATGTCCCATCCACTCTTCTTCAGGATTGCCCCTGAATCAAAAGAAGTTTTAAAATTATTATTGTAACATAAAATATGCTTACACAAAAGAGTGGGTTGAATTAACATTGTTTACAAGTAGTAATTTTTAAAAGAACAAACAGGAATTTATCCCTTTTGAAAATTCCCATTAATTATTCCACTATTCAATTTTTATGCTGTTGAACAAAACTGTTTATCTATATTTATCTTTGTTGAGTCCACTGTCATAAACCCCCTCCAGCAACAACCAAATCAGCAGGGACTTACTGGAAAGAAAGCCTAAAATATCTGGAGGGTTCCTGGTTTGCAAAGATGAACTCTCTATTCTCTCATTAATAGAGTTCTTTAAGATTACAGGTAGTCCTCACTTACTGACCACAATTGGGACCAGCAAATCCATCACTAAGCAATGCAGTCATAAAGTGAAACATCACATGACTGCTCCCACTTAAAGTCAGTTCCAGCTGTGGTTAAGCGAGACATCATGTGACCACGACTTGCAACTTCCTGCAGGCTTCCCCATTGACTTTGCTTGTTGGAAGCTGGCTGTGAAGGTCACAAACGGCAATCACATGACCATGGGATGCTGTGACCATTGTAAATGTGCACCAGTTATTGAGTGCCTGATTCGCAATCACGTGACCACGTGGACGCTTTGGCAGCAAGTTCAAGGACTGATCATAGAGCTACTTTTTCAGCACCATCCTAACCAGTCACTGCACAAGCAGTTGGTAAGCGAGCGCATTTGTATGTATACCAACAATAGGAAAGCCCAAAATTCATATTTCTCACTGCTTAGGGCTTTACTTCTTGGTTATTACATGCCATCTACTACAAACAGTATTTGTGCCATTTTAGATTGAAGAATGCATGCAAATATATTAAAAACAAAGGATCAATACAGGTAGTCCTCATTTAATAACTGCAATTGGGACTGGCAACTCCATCACTAAGCAACATAGTCATTAAATGAGACATCACATGACTGCGACTTGCAATTTCACTACCAGCTTCTCCATTGACTCTGCTTGTCAGAAGCCGGCTGTAAAGCTTGCAAATGGCAATCATGTGACCATGGGGACACTGCAACAGTCATAAGTTCAAGGACCTGTCATAAAGGTACTTTTTCAGCGCCACAGTAACTTTGAACGGTCACCAAACAGGGCAGTTGTTAAGCAAGGATCACCTGTATAGCAAAGCACATTAGGATCTTTGAGAGTATAAAATTGACACTAGATTTCAATAGGCCTTCAATATTTTCCTTAGAGATACCTAGAGATTAGTTCTCAGACATAGATGCTTTTGTTCTTACAGAATTACATCTTCCAGATTCCTAAAAAAAAGTGCTGCAACTTTTACACTAGTTTTTTTCAACTCAAGAAGTCAGTATAGTTAAATATTCTATAATTTTTTAATGCTCTAGCTTATGAATTATTCCTATGATGCTCAGTCAACACCACTTTTAGAAAACTTACCTTTCAGGGACCAGTTTCTGGGATAGTGGGAAGATGGGCAATTCTGTAATAACTATGTTTCAGTTGCCGGGCTGTGCGACCAGATACAATCCATTTTAGCTTTTGTCCACTTGGCCGGGAGCATTTGCTTGAGGAATATTCTGAGAGGCACTTTGACACAAGTTCCTTCCAAAAGGAAAACTCTCTACTATTTATCTGCAGAAAACAAATTTGGAAATTAAAAACCAATCAGTACCACTCAGGAGCAGCAAAATACATGTTAGTGATAACCAGGTGACACATAACCTAGAAAGTTCATACCACTGAAACAATTACACATGCTTTCATTTATCATGTAAGCTTAAAAATGGTTATTCAATACCGAATTTTAGTTTACTTCAGACCATTTTAGGTTGTCTTATGACAAGAAAGCATTTTTAATATAAAACTATGGAAATGTAAATAAGAGGTTAAAAACTGATTTATTACAGGACGATACATCAAAATCCAAGCAGGTTCACAATGAATTGTTAGTACCTGTCATGAAAAAAATAATGTGCAAGGTGATTTAGGTAAATAATTAAAAAGGGAATTCTAGAATGAAGATTCACCAGAGATTAAGATTATAAAGGATAAAAAGTTGCAGAACTGTATTTTTAAAGTTATCTGAGATATCAGTGTCTAGAAAAAAAATATAACAAAGCAATATATTTTGAGATAACAAGTTTCTCAAAAATGAGACTGAGTATTAAGTTAGTGATTTACAATGAAAGATAATTATGCATCAGAGAAAAAATTAGGAGTTAAAATGTATATATCAACATACTCATATCTACATATATATACCAAATATATTCCAAAAAAAAATGTTCCAAATCTAGAAGAAACTAATGAGAAGGCCCTCTCTCATACTCTCACCAAATGCATCTCTAATAGTGAAATGCCCAAGAGAAGGGCCCTTCTAAAAGGTTTAAAGACTTAAGTACACTCACAAGTAGGAATCCAATCATTTAAATAGCGTGAACCCAAACTGTTTAAGGATTTAAAAGTCATAACAAATATTTTGAATTGTGCCCAGAAACACGAACTAGTATGTTTCCTACAATTAAGCCCACTCAACCCTTTCATTGCAGCAGATTGAATAATGTGAAGTTTCTCAACACTTTTAGAACAGAGAAATATTCTAAAGACTTGAAATTTTCTACAGGTGGTCTTTAGGAAACATGGTTCCTGTTATCAAAACCCTGACATTTTAAGTCTGTTGCTAAAGAATTAGAACTATGTTTTTGATATTACAATTTAAGACCCTCTGTCTTAAAAAGAAAAAAGGATTTCTGTACTATAAGGTAAGATTTAAACAGCTTATAACTAGGTGGATCAAATAAAATAAAATCCATAAACATACACACATTGTAATATGTGATTTGAAAAACAAGGATTATTTAGTACGTTATATTGGACCACATAGTGTGGCTAATTTAACAAATCAGTTAATCTATGAATTAGTCTATGAATTTCACCACACTTCCAAAAAGGTTTCTAAACTACTAAACCTCTAAGTTGTGGAAACTTTTAAAGTTGCCCTTCACCACTGTCCAAATATCAGCACCCTTAATCCAGAACTATATCCTGTTTCCTAGTGTCAGGTTTGCCCTTTAACTCCCATTCTGCTGACCAAATAAAGAGGCACTAAAAGGATTTTCTACATGGAACTCTAGCCAGCTACTCAATTCCACTGAACAAATTAAACAATGAGAACTGAACTGCACAATTTGCTGTGACAAGAGTTAAGGCAAATAAGTTATTTTAATGCTTGCAAAATAGCTACTGTGTTATCAGAGATATTTACAAAGGACTGAAACTGTGGCCCCAAACATGTATTTGAGATAGCTTCACAAAAGATTTTTTCCAAAACTGTCAGGCTACAATGGAGCAAGGGTTCTCCTGAAAATTATTCAGTTTCTCTTGCCACCTACATAGCTATTTCCTTCTTCCTCTAATCTAACCATACCAAACATTTTTAGATGAAAGCAATCCTTGAATGATACTTAGCCTCTTGACAAGTCAGTCATAATATTTCTAAGAAAACAAAGTTAATTCAAAGTTAATGACATCAAACAGACAAACATTTAATTATGGTCTACCTTGGAATGTATTCGCAGACATTGTATTATTTCCATCAATTCTGGCACTTTCTCCTCTTCAGCTTCTAGAGCCATTATTGAAAGTGCCAACGCTGAAGGCTAGTGGAAGACAAAATAATTAAGATCAATTATGCTAAGCTTTTGCAAAATTCTAACTGCTGAATTGATCACTGCTAATTGATCAGAGTCTTTACCTTTGCTTTCGAAAGAACAATTCTGCAGTGGCAGGCCTTTAGTCGGGCTTCAAGTCTCTCTAAATTAAGATGATTGTTCCTGTGATAAAACAAGGCTTAATTTGTTGGTTTTCAATATTTCTATATAAGGATTACCACAAAGCAAAAAATAAACTGAGAAGTTATAACATATAAAAAGCTAACTTAATGTCATAAAGTAATATTTGAGCTTAAATCAAAAATACATTACCTAATATTTGCCCACAGCTTTAAATTTTCATAAATTACAAAATCACATCAAAATACAACTGTGTTTCAATCATAGCATATTTAAAAACAATATTCAAGTTCAACAGTAGTTCAAGCCTAGCTTAGATTCAACCAAGGAAGAGAATCTTTGGTAGATAAATCAAACTCTTGTTCAGAATCTTGCTGATTGGGCTACACAGAAAAATTGAGTGTCTATTGTTTTGGGGGTTTTTTGGTTTTCATTTGGTTCCTCCATCCAGTTCTGATACCATGTTCAAAGCCAGATAAGTACACTTTCCATTGCATTCTGCAGAATTCAAGTAATTCAGGTTATTAAACAGAGTTAACTCTGTTGCATTTGTTTGCATGCAGATGAGGTACATTTCTATGAGAGATGTTTCTCTAGAAACCTCAAAGGCCACTGACAGAAAGTTACTACTTGAGGAGCAAGGAAAAATAATTCCACTCCATAAGCACTACTCTAATAACCATGATGACATGACAGAGTGCATAATAGTATTATACAAAAATAATAAGTGATATTTATTGAACGCTATTTTAGATAGCTCAAATCTGATAGGATTATTATAACATTTCAACCTGCTGTGGGGGAATCATAGAATTGTACCACATCACAGCCTTGTTGTAAATATTAATATCTCTTAAAGCCAGATTGTCCATTTGCTGTAATGTACATCTAGCAATGCATTTTTGCATGAGTTGTGGGGGCATTCACCACATGGTTAAAATCTGAATTGAAAATGCACAACCAGATTATTTTAATAAGGGACTGAAGAGATTGTTGGATATTTACTATCCTGCTAGGGCACTAGGACATTTCTTCTCTATAAACCTATATCTTTGCTTTAAAGGAACTGTCAATTCCAAATTGGCCCTGAAAAGGAAACTTACCTTTCACAGTTAATGCTGTCACACAGAATTGAACAATAAAGTTGCAGAAACTGGAAGGCAGTTGTTGCTTTTACTTTTCCATGTAGCTTCTCTAGAAGAATTTCCTCCATTCTCATCAGGTCACAAACAGTAAACCGATACTGACTTATTCGGATTAAATCAGTAGCTAATGGAATATTACTCTCTTCTTCCATGACTTTCACAGCCAAGTAAAAACAACTTAACCCAACACAGCCCAAGTGCTTTGGCTGTACCTAGAAGAAAAAAAGACTTTGAGTTGAAGTCTACAATATCCCTGCTTTGCATAGAGACTACAAACCTACCAGAGTAAATATTATTTAACTCAATGGGACTTTTAACTCAAAAATGTTAAGCGTGGGCTTATAGCAACTTTTTCTCACATAGAATAAAAAGCAGTCAATCATTTAGCTATTTTCTTCTATCCTATGTTTTAAACTTCTAGTGTATTTACGTTTATTCAAGAAAACAGGAATTCCCACTGTGGAACCAATGCTCTGGCACAATGCCATTAATGCTTCTATTGTTTCAGAAAGTAAAGCAATCACTCCTTGCTGTCCAACATCAGTCAAGCACCTACCATTTATATATTTACCCCTCAAGACAATTCAGCTCAGCATACAGGCCTGAAGGGCATCACACATCTAAAATAGCACTTTCTAAAAGATGTTATTAGAGGGATACACTTGTTTGGAACCTCCCTCATCTTTGTTTCATTGAAGAACCCAGAAGTTTTAAAGACCACATAAATCCACTAAGCCCCCTCCCCAAAATATATACAGAAGCTTGTAGCAACATACTTTGCATAAGGCAACAGAAAGGTCCATTAGGCCAAACTTCTATGATGAACTACAGATTCCAGAATCCCCAGACTCAATGAGAATTATGGGAGTTGCAGTCAAACAATCTAGCACTAGGCTGAGGAAGGCTGATCTGTATTCACCCAAATTAAAAGAACTCCTGTGCTTTAATAAGACTGGCAAGGAAAAGGTTTAGATAGTCATAGTATGGTTCCCCTGTTAGTCCTTAAGTATCCTGAAATGTCCAAATGTAATTGGTATTTGTAATGATGTTAAACCATACAAGCTGCTATAGCTTCTGCTATAAATGCTCCTCCTGTGAGCTATTCATCCACTATATTCAGCTAAAAGTAAGTGTTGATGCCAGTTAATAAGATTTACATGGCATAACTGTATGTTAAGATTACAAACTAATGCTGTAGTGATAAAATTCTCCTTGGCAGCTGGAGACTAAAAAAGCAAATTAGCAGCAATTTGTGAAGTCTTGTGTCAAAATAGAAACATCACTTATAGGCTTATAACTTCATAGTCGAAAGACCTACCTTCATTTTTGATAAAAAACGATCTAAGTAATTCACGGCAAGAGAAAATGTCTCTGTGCGAAAGCCAAAGAACTGAATCAAACTAAGCAGGTCCTTCACCTCAAAATCCCTCAACCTCGCCGTCATCCGGAGCCCGTTATCATGAGCTGATTCAATTATTCTCAGGCCAGAGAGCTTTGGCTGATACCTTAACTCCTGCTCAAGCAACACATTCAGCTGCAGCAGTAACTCCCGAGTCCCATTTGTTGCAAATGTATCAATCATCTGAAATACAAAATTTAGATCAGGACTGCTTCAAGCAAAACACTTAGAGAAGTTTGTGTTTGATATTGCCGCCTTTTACAAAGCAGTAAAGCCACAGAGACATTGCTCCAAGTCATACTCTGTGCTCTTTAACTACATATGTAACATGCATATGGCAGAAGTAATGCAAAATGCACAGGTAAAAAGCTTAGCAGGAGGGAAAATGTGAGCTGAGGGGGTGGAGATTGTCAGAATAATTAATTGAATACGGAGCTGAGCCGCTGAAGAGGTTTGAAAATGCAAATGTGAATTAAAGTTATAACTGTAACAGAGCCATTGTATCCACAGTGAAACAGGTATTTTCATATTAAAATCTGATAAATAAAATAAATTATCCTGATCACACCTTCACTTATATTTCTATACTTTTTATGGTTTTTAAAAATGAAACATTTAAAACTATTTTTATACTATAAATGCCCTATGATTTAAGCCTTTAAAACACTGTAAAGAGAGCAACACATACAATAGGATAAAGATTTAGATTTATTTACTAGTCCACTAACTCTGTATTAGCTACAGAGCACTACTGTGAATGTCATTCTGACTTTCTCCCTATGAAGTTCCTCGCTTTCTCCCGTAGGAAAAGGTCAACTATAATTTATTAGAAGATCCTGACATAATAGATCCGTTAAATTAGCCTGCCACTATCCAGCGTCCTCTAGAAGTGTTGGGCTTGACTGCACTGCCAAGGGGCTAGCAGAATTAAATGGGCATTTGGTTGGGAGAGGCTGAGTTAAGTATTGCCAAGTTTAACAACATAAATATAACAAGTAACATTTTAATAATAATATTCTCTGCCACAGCTGGCTTTATCTCTCTCACTTTCCTTTCGGGAATCCTTATTTGGAAAATATGGATATGAATGGGAAATCTTTCACTTCTTGTTCTCCTTAGTTTGCGTTATTCCAGCTGATAGACACAGGAACTATTATTACACTTAAACAGACTTCATCAAGTCAGTAATCTCTTACTCTAAGGACACCAACTTCGAAGACATGTCTGGGCTTGCCCTCTCGACACATCCGCTGACAGCCACCCACCAGTAGCACACAGGTTATGGCGAAATAAATAGCCCATCTCCCAGAACTCCAGCCCCTTACCTTTTATTCCAGGAAAAACACAGGCGGTCGGAGACCCCTCGGATAACCCGAGTCGGAGTTGAAACAAAGAATAAACTATTGATTTTTAAAATAAATAGACCTCCAGATATTTCTTTAAAACAAATAATTTAGCCTTTCATTCATTTACTTAACAAAAGCACAGAACAAGCAGTGACGGCCGCAGCTTTGAGTAAGGCACGCGAAGGTTCCCCGCCTCTCCTTCTGTTCCGGAGACAACTAGATCCCGCAGACTCCACTACGGCTTACTCTAAAAACTCCGCCCCGGCTTTTATAGAAGAAATGAGGATTCCTCCGATTGGCTACTGTCCTGATCTGGTGAACAAATCAGAGCCTCCCGTCCCGCGACTTGCTCGGAGCGGGGCGTGAGAAGCTATATGGGGAATCCTATCAGCTATGTAGGAAAATTGAGCGTCTGTGGCGCTTTACTTTTTTCATGCATCTCGGGTACCGCGATCACCGGCAGATAAATACGCTTGTCGCTGCGTTCGGCGGGATTCAGGCCTTGGAGTTGTTCAGGAAAGTTAACTTTCGTTTCAAGCTGCGGTGGATTTGTACGGGATATGTTTTCTTGAGGCGATCCAAGGAGAGGAAATCCCATTCCACAAGTCCTGCTTTATCATCCCTCGGAGCACGACTGAGTGAATAAAGGTATTACACAAACACAACAGTCACAGGCGATATTAATTCAAGCGTTCGTTTCGCACAGGTCACATCGGATAGGATGGCTGTGACGATCATTCCAATCTGCTGCATGGGAGTAATAGAATTGCACTACATTACAGGCTTGTTGTAAATGTTAGTTACCTCTCAGTGACAGACTGTCCATCTGTAATGTATAGGCAACAATACATCTTTTGCACAGGGCGTGATTGGGGAAGACAGGGATACTGTATTTAACAGTTTGCACCCCATGATGAAGACTGTAATTGAAAATGGACAATAAGTTGCTGCCTTTGGAGGGATAGATCATCAAATCACTGAAACAGCTGGCTGGATTTATGCAGTACATTAAACCATGATGCTTTTTTTTAGGTTTTGGTTTAGTAGGAATATACACACAAAATCATAGTTTGTTGCCAACCCCTAGGCTGTTGCTTTCTTCAGCTTTTAAAAGGGTCTGAGGAGAATGATTTTGAACAGCACGCTGCAAATAGCCTTTCTAGCAGATACCTTGGAAAGGATATAAGCAACAGAGAGTTACCTACACCCTCAGAAATAAGACTATGATCAGAAAAGTTTACTCCCAGATAAATGACTATGTTTTGAATGATGGATTGCTTATGTGCCATCAAGTGGTTTTTGACTCCTAGTGATCATATAAATAGATTTTTCTCCATGACAGTCTTTCAGGTCTTCCAACAGTGTACCGATCAACACTATAACTGAGTCCTTGCTGCTGGTTGTCCTCGTATATTCTTTCCTTCTATCTTTCCCAGCATCACAGCCTTCTCTAGAGAGCTGAGTCTTCACATACTGTGTCTGAAGTAGGATAATTTGAGCCTGGTCATCTGTACCTAAAATCTGGGTTTGATTTGTTCAATGATCCAATGGTTTGTTTTCTTGGCCGTCCATGATATTCTCAGGAGACTTCTCCAACACCAAAGTTCAAAAGCAATGAAACTCTTCCTATCCTGCTTCTTCAAAGCCCAACTTTCACTTCCATAGAATGTCACAGGGAACACCATGGTTTGTACGATTCTGATCTTTGTAAGTAAGGACACATCACAGCATTTGAATATATTTAACAAGGCCTCCAGGGTTGCTCTACCAAGTGCTGGTCTGTGGTGTATTTCCTGACTGCTTGTTCCTTTACTGCCTATGGTTGATCCTAAAAGGCAGAAGCTATCCACCACTTGGATATCTTAGTTGCCAATTGTAAGGCTGGATGTTCTACTTGTTGCCACTAGTTTGGCCTTCTGTATATTTAATTTTAGTTCTATTTTTTCACTTTGCTCTTTGACTTTCATTACTAGAGCTTGCAGATTCTTTGCATTTTTGGCTATCAGGGTACTGTCATCAGCATAGCACAGATTATTGATGCTTCTTCCTCCAATTTTAAAACCACACTCATCTTCCAATCCAGCTTCCCATATATCTTCAGCATAGAGGTTGAATAAATAAGGGGAGAATATACAGCCTTGTCACACTCCTTTGCCAACCTGGAGCCAGTCTGTTTCACCATGTTATGTCCAGACAGTGGTTTCTTGACCTGTATGTAAGTTTCTCATGAGGACAATCAGTTATTTGGGGATTCCCATTTTTTGGAGCACATTCCACAGCTCGACATGATTGACATCAGTCATAACAAATAAGATAAAACCTGCACAAAAGTGGCAGGCAGCCAAACATTAATAAAATACATTTAAATGTACAAAAATCAGTAAAAAAAACATTAAAACAGGGTTATTACAGCAGGTAAAATATTAAAAAAAAACCATTAGGAACTTTTGATAAAATATTCTCTCTGTTTAGCAGCAGCCTGTGCAAAGCTTGCTAATTAGTGGCTCCTTGTCTAAATTCATTAGATATTTAATTTTATATGAATCAGGCCAAAATGATTTTTCTTATCAAAAGGGGCTCCAGAAATTTTCCCCCTGCTGAAGGAGAAATAGGGCAGTACAATAAATAATAAGTAAAATCTTCTATAATTTCCTTGGAGCAAGTGGAGAAGTGCATATAATATGGGATATTGAGAAATCGGCCCTCTCCGGCTTTGTAAGCTCTTTATTTTTTTGCAATATATAACAAAAGGGGGAATATAATGTTGCTTTTTGGAAACTTTTTGAACATTAAAAATTTGGATGAAATTGATTTAAAGTAAGACTTTGGAAGTTAATTAAAAGGAGCCTCATGTTGGAAAAGAATTCATGTTTATATTTTGCCCTGATAATGAAGCTTTGAAGGTTAATCACCAGAGAGCACCAGACGGCTACTTTAAAGGAAATGTTCTATAAATTGGCTCAAGAAATGCTTGGACTATTTAACCCTATATTGGAATCAAAAGTTGCTATTGAAGAAAACCAAACTCCTTGGAAGATAACTGAAATGGATTTTAATGTGGACTTAAAAATTATAACCTATAAGAAAGATATGGAAATATTGGATTTACAAATGGAATTGGATGATCATTTGAAAATTAAAAAAGGTATACAAATATATCAAAAGAGGGATGTGGATTACCCGTTTATATTGGAATATAAGAAATTTACAGGAGTGGCTATATAAAAATTACATATGGACATATGGACAAAGATGACAAGGATTTCGAGACAAGAGAAGGATAATAGAAGAAAGCAGATGTTGGAATTTTATCTATGGGATTTAAGGATTGATGGGAGGCAGAAGAAAAAATACAAAAATGGTTATTTGATTATGGTTAAGAAATGGGTTGTTATTTTTTGTTATGTTTAATGGTTACTTTGCCTGGATTATTCTTTTTTGGAAATGTCTGACTGGACGTAATGGATTAGTTTGCAATATCTACATTACTATTTTTGATATAAAAATAAGGGATTACTATTTTTGGTAATGTTTAATAGTTTTTTTTATTTTTTTGTAACATTTAATTGTTAATTGGGATTAATAATGGGTTGCTATCTCGGGTGATGATTAATGGTTAATTTTTTATCTTTTTATAATATTTAATTATTAATTGAGATTGCCTGTGGTTAAATGGAAAGGATGATTAAATGTTTAAGTTGTTATGTTTGTTAATCTTTACACCTTTTGTTGATTAATATTGATTGATTGATTGATTGATGAGTTGTATATATTTGCTGGGGATGAAAGGGAAAGTTTCTTCTTTTTTTGTGGGGGGAATTTTTTTTTCTCTTTACACTTTTTTCTTATTTTTTATTGTAATTTTGTATTAGGTTTTTGTATTCATTTTTTCTGTTCTATATAATCTTCAATAAAATTATTGGGAAAAAAAGAAGAGAAATCAGCTCTCTCTAGTTGCCATTTGCTGGAACTGTAGTCTTGTAAGTGCTTCTCGGAAGGATGGCATTGTAACACATCTCAGATAATGTCTGCATTCAATTTTTGTTTTATTAAGTGCAAACCAAGGGGCAATTTTATTTTGTGGTAATTTAAACAAATTACTTTGGGCAAAGACATTCAGCAACCTGTTTTTAAATAATAGATTATTGTTTGCATTACTTGAATTTAAAAAGAATCCCAGAGAAAAACCAAAGGTATGCATATAATGAATGTTAAGCTGGCATTTATCAGCTTCCCAAAACCTAAAGGTTTCCTCTCACAGAGGGAATGAAGATTGCATTGGTGCATCTATTTCAAACTTTCACCCCAGTTAAACTTGTTTCAGGTGATATTTTAAAGGTGGAATACTTGTATACAATGATTGACATAATTAAAGTCCTTTCTATAATCAATGAAGCGCATACTGACTTCTTTTTGGTATTGTTTGGCTTTCTCAGTTATCCAATCTCTTGTGTTCCTCAACCTTTTCTAAAGCCAGCTTGAACATCTGGCATCTCTTTTTCTATGTACAGCTCTAATCTGTGTTGGATGATCCTAAGCATTATTTTGCTAACATGTGAAATTAAGGATACAGGTGGTCCCCAGTTTAAGAACAAGTTCCATTCCCAAAGTCTGCCTTAAGTTGAATTTGTATGTAAGATGGAACAGTGTTATTATTGTATAATGGTGTACAAGTAGTATTGTGTACTGAACTTGAAGCATTGTGCATTTAACTCAAATAATTGTGTATTTAACTTGAATTTTGCTACAGTAGGCTCCATTCTTAACTATGGGTCACCTGTAAACCGGGCGTTCTTAACCTGGGAACTACCTGTATTGTTTGATAATTTGCACACACTGTTAAATCTCTCTCACTTTTTTTTTTTTTTTTTTTGGTATTGGAACGTAGATAGACTTCTTTCAATCTATTGGCCACTCTGCTGTTCTCCAGACTTGCTGGCATAGTTTGATTAGAACTTTTACTGATTCTTCTTCTGTTGCTTGCCATATTTCAGTGGGTATTGCATCAGTTCCTGTAGCTTTCCGACTTGTTAATGATCAGAGTGCTGATTTAACTTCATCTTCTTGTGCTAGAGGTTCTTGTAAAAGTAGGGAATATCTTCTAAGGTATCTTGGATTCTGACATCTCTACTGTACAGTGTTTCAGTATACTCCTTCCATCTTAGTTTGATCTATTTTGAATTAGTTACTATCTGTCCCTTGGGGTTCTTT